ACTTAGGAAGGAACAATCAATTGCTCACATATGAAATGGGAAATTACTGGCTAAGAAGGAGTAGTGTAGAAAGAGATCTAGGAGTCATAGGGTATGTCTACACTTGCTCCCTAGTTCGAGCTAGGGATGCAAATGTAGCCGACCGAAATTGCTAATGAAGTGGGGATTTAAATATCCTGCGCTTCATTAGGATAATCTTGCCCGTGCATTAATCTGCTCAACAGCTGATTCAAGCCAGGAAGTGTGCTCCAGGACACGTTAGTTCGAATCAAACCCCTTGGTTCGAGCTAACGTTACTCCTCAAAAAATGGGGAGTAACTCCTCATTGCTCCAAAAAATGAGTAACGTTAGCTCGAACCAAGGGGTTTGATTCGAACTAACGTGTCCTGGAGCACACTTCCTGGCTTGAATCAGCTGTTGAGCAGATTAATGCACGGGCAAGATTATCCTAATGAAGCGCAGGATATTTAAATCCCCACTTCATTAGCAATTTCGGTCGGCTACATTTGCATCCCTAGCTCGAACTAGGGAGCAAGTGTAGACATACCCATAGTGAATCACAAGTTTAAATGTAACTTAATACACTCCAACAGTATAACACTATTGCAACCTCTCCCCCCCCCCAAAAAAAAACAAACTAACAAACAAACATAATTCTGGGATATATTAGCAGAAGTGTTGTAAGAAAGACATGAGAAATAATTATTTCACTCTACTCCACACTGATTAGGCCTCAACTGGAGTATTGTGTCCAGTTCTACCAATAGCACTGTATCCTGTCCATAGTTCATATTATTTATCCATTTTCTATTCATCCTAATACCTTCTGTTTCTTGGATATATTTAATCAAACACTGGCCTAACTGTTACAGCTGGGCTGCAGTCCATATGTTAGGGGTGGTAGTTGGTGAACAAGGGACCAGAGGAATCTCTAGAGCTGGGTTCAATAGGCAAGAGTCAGAATCAGTCTGAATTCAGGAGGCAAAACTCAGGTTGGGAACTTGAGATCGTGAGGTGATTTCTCATCTGGTGTCACCATAGGCTTGAAGTCTGTGTGGTTACCCAGACAATTTCCTGGGGAAACTCCATGGTTAAATAGGGCGGTTGTCCAATCAGAGGGCTGTAGGGCACTGACACTCTGGTTCTCTTGTGTGATCACAGCAGAGACTAAAACTGGGATCTTAAGCATCTAAACCCAAAACTTGGCACCAATATCTGGGCTTTAGGCATCAAATACTTTTATGGATAAGCCCCAAAGTAACTAACTATAGCATTTACTTGTAAGGCTACATCTGTGCTATATGCCACTTTTGGTAGCACAGAGGGTACACTGCAGTGAAAAGCAAGCTGTATCCACAGTGCATGGACTGTTACAGTGTGTAGCTGTACATGTCAGTGAAAGGCTCTGGGAGGGGGGGAAGTTTGAGCCTTTCTGGGTGGCTTCAGTCCTTATCTGTGGCAGAGAAGGACTGCAGAAGGAAGCTGGCAAAGCCATGGAGCATCCTGCTGTCTCACAGCTGAGGGAACCTTTTGGTGAAATAGGGAAAGGCTCCATCAACTGGGAGACAGCAGTACACTCCACAGTTAAAAATAGCATTATCAACAGCAAGGCACAGCTTGGGGAAGTAGGGCATATGCTCCATACATATCCACATCACTCAGGCATGTCTGAACTAAGCCATGCCTCATCATGTTACACTGCAACTTAAACCTATGCCAGGGCATTATCCCTTCAAACACACATGCAGTGTAGACATAGGAGGAAGCTTTGGTCCTGCAACCATTCAAGTTAAGACAACGCTCCCACTGATTTTAGTGGTGTAGGAAGACCTTAAGTGAACACTAAGGCTCTCATCAGGCCTACACATTTTATGCACAAGCTTAACTTTTGATATGAGTCATTCCATTGAAATCAAATTATTCATGTGCATAAAGTTAAACAGATGCATATTTTCAGGACTGGGATGCTCATCGAGATGTAGATATTTTTAATGCATCTCTTTCTATTCAATGATGGGATAGATCAATTTTTAAAGTCCTGATTGTTTTTAAAATCTGTCAAGATGATCCAAAACATTTTTTTCACCCCAGTTTGGAAAAAAATATGAAGCTGGAGCCAAATTCTACTCCTATTTATTACTATGATGGCTTTCAGATGTGAATTCCTTGAAAAAAAGGAAGAGTGCAGAATGTACATAGTCCATTAAGGAAATTTGTTTCTAGTAATGAAGCATTTGTAGTATATGTATGCTGCATACTAAATGAAGAAAAACAAATTAAAATCCTCTACATACCTCTAGCACAATTGTTCTTCTACTTTAACTATTAACATTTTAAGACTTATTCAAAATATAATATTGTTCAAAAAGGATTTTCCAGATATGCCCACATTCCATTTATGTTTAATAGGGACCATTTTGGTCACATCTCTATCCTTTTAAAATACTTTTTATTAAATTGTGTGTGCACAGTTCTTAATTATGTTATTCTTGAGTTTTGTAACACATCTAAGGTCAGCATTATTTCACTTTCAAAGTCACTTAATAATGGTTGCAAGACAATACTTTAATTGCACTTTATGGGAAATGATCTGGCTGTTCTTATCTTTGAGTGAAATCTACCTCTTTTTAAAAAAAATTAGACTCTTTAAGTACAGTAAATTATGCAGGTTTCCTGCTATTAAAATGCAAATTGTATTTGCAAGAGGAAATCATAAGAAAGCTTTTAGTGACTTTATTGCTAAGCATTATTTATCTGCCGACACATAAAAGGGAGAAATTCTCAGTGTGCAAGGAGAAAAAGGGGAAGAAATGAGCCTGCAAAGGAGTTGCCCTCCAGAGCTGTATCCCTTTTGAGATGTGTTCAAATGTGTGGGGTGGCAGACAAAAATCAACAGAGCCTGATGTCTGTTGGTTGCCCATGAATCTAGTGACATCACAAAAGCAAAGAGATAAAGCATATATAAATTTGTGAGAATTAAACTTCCAGTCCAATTGCACAGAGAGAATCATAGAAAGGGAGAGCTGAAAGACTCAAGAGGTCAAGTCTTGCCCTCTGCCCTGAGGTAGAACCAACTAAACCTAGAGCATCCCTAACAGGTGTTTATCCAACCTGTTCTTAAAAACCTGCTATGATGGGGATTCTACAATTTCCCTTGTATTCCTATTCCAGAGTTTAACTACCCTTATAGTTAGAACTTTTTTTTATAATATCTAACCTAGATAGTCCATGCAGCAGATTAAACCCATTACTTCTTGTCTTGCCTTCTGTGGACATAGAGAACAATTGATCACTATCCTCTTCATACATATACTGGGACGTAACATATTTGAAGACTTAACAGGTCTTCCCTTTAGTCTCATTTTCTTAAGATTAAACAGTCCCAACTTTTATAGCCTTTCATTTATCATTGTTTGTTGTTGTCATCTGGACTCTCTCCAGTTTATTTACATGATGTCCAGGACTAGACTTTGCTCCAATGGAGGCCTTATTAGTGCTAAATAGTGTGGAAAAATTACTTCCTGTCTTTTATATACAGCACTCCTGTTAATATACTTGATGACTTTATTCCTCTTTTGTAGGTGTGTGTCACATTCTTGAACATCACCTTACAACATCAGCAGCAAGACAGCATCTGCAGCTTGAGAAAAGTCATATTTTATCATGTTTCTTTTTATAAAACATATTTTGGGGAGAAAGTGAAAAATCCTTTTTTACACAAATGCATCATGGAACCCCTCCCCCGCCATGGATGTCACAATGAAACTACAAAAGGGCTGTCCACCAGACTCTTCATAGGAAGTTTTGATCCTATTCTTGCCAAATTGTCTCACTGACATCACAAACAGGCCCGTACACAGGAATTTCTGCAGGAGGTGTGTGAGCTGTGGAAGGGGCTGCCCCCCCCCGCCCCCCAAGCCCAGCCCCCCCACCCGCCTCACTGCTGGGTGAGGAATGGGGGAAATCAGTCCCAGATTTCCCAGGCTGGAAGGAGCATGGGGGAGAGAGGCTGGGGCAGCGCACCTCCCTGCTTCCCCACAGCCAGCCAGAACATGGGGGAGGGAGGCTGGGGCAATGCACTGCCCCTGACTTCCCTAAGTTGGCCAGAACTGGCCCTATGGCAGAGCATGAAGGACCATGGGGGATGCGTTCGCACCCTTCACACAACCCCTGCGCACAGGTCTGATAAATGAGGGTGAGGAGAATCTAATCCAGAGTTTGTCAGGGGAAGGTAGTGGATGACAAAGGAAAGTGCAATTTACACCTCTCTGCTTTTCTGAATCAAACTTAATTTGTGCTATATTTAAGCCAAATTCTTCCTTCAAATAATGTGCACAAATGGTTCTACTTGCCTTCACTTTGGCTCTTGAGTTCGTTATCAAGAAACAGAAAGGTAAAGTCTTCTGTTTGACTATGTTGTCCAAAATAGTTTTTTTTTAGAATCCAAGTGGTTCATAGTCTTCAGAGAATATGAAATTGCAAGTTAGGAACTGTAATCAATAATCATAGGACTGGAAGGACCTTGAGACTACACTCAAGGCAGGACTAACTATTATCTAAACCAGTGGTCCCCAACACGGTGCCTGCTGGGGCATTTATGTGCACCCGCCTAGTGACCAGGACCAGCCCGAGCCATTCTTGTGCCCCGGACCTCAGGCGCATGCACGGCCCCAGGTGCGTGGCGCATGCACGGTGCCGCCCCTGGGTGCTTGGCAGCCCCAGAAGGTTGGGGACCACTGATAAACCAAAGGGAAGCAAACTATGGCCCACAGGCCCAGCCTCTCGGACCCTTCAGTCCAGACCCCTCCCCAAGCTCCTTCAGGGTAGTAGGATCAGGACAACCTTGCCACGATCTAGCCCAACTCTCAGGCATCATGGAGAGAAGGGGCAGCCAGTGATCTAGCTGCCCAGGGAGGCTAGCCACTAGCCCATCCTCTTCTGCTTCCCATTTTTTACTTTCTTGCTAAAAATGCAAGCACAAACTGATTTACAGTAACACCTTCAGGAGACTTTTTTGTTTATTATACTTCACTTATTTTTCCTGTGTGTCTGTAACATTTTTCTGTAGACAATGTTTATCTTCTGGCCATTCCAGCTGAGAATCTTTCCTTGCAGTACTGTGAATCAAAGAGAGTGACATTGCAGCTGCTCCTCCAGGTGGCCAACCTGTAGAACGTTACAAAGCAAATAAAAAGTTATTTTTAGAATATGCGTAGGAACTCTGGCCTTAGCATTATCTGCTGCAGCTATGGTACAGTCTGGAATGCTGTTTTAAGGAAATAGCCAACAAGAGGAGCTCAGAATCTGCCCCACGAGACTAGTTGGAAGTGAGCTAGAGAAGAAGGTGAAAAGAGACTGCACTAGGGTGAAAAAGGGTTTGGCCAGAGGAAGTTGTGTTAAAGGAAGCTGGACCATGGGCCACATACAAGGAGTATGCCTGCAAAGGGCAGCTATGGCCTGTGAGGTTGACCATTAGTATGCTGACAAAGGAAAATAAAATGTGGGTACTTGAGGAATGGATAGACCCTCCAGGTGAGGGTCTGCTGTTCATAAGTGGACCTGTTTAGTAAAGGTGCTGTCATTGCAGGGTCAAAAAAAAAAAAAAAAAAAAAAAGCCAGATAAAGGTAAAAGCAGAAGAGAGGGGTAAAACTGGACTTTGTAGCCAGGGAGAGAAGTTGATTCCCATGGGGTGACACTGAGGATACATCTACACTGCAGGCTTTTTGCGCAAGAACAGCTGCTCTTGCACAAAAACTTGCAGAGCATCTACACTGCACATGCATTCTTGCGCAAGTAAATTTACAGCACATCGTCGGAAAACAGGGCTTCTTCCGGAAGAGTTATTCCTCTCCCCACAAGGAATAAGCCCTCTTGCACAAGAGCTCTTCCACAAGAAGGCAGTGTAGACCGGCAACATGAATTTCTTGTGCAAGAAACCCCTATGGCTAAAATGGCCGTAAGAGCTTTCTTGCGCAAGAGAGAGTCCACACTGCCATGGACGCTCTTGCGCAAAACCACATGGCAGTGTGGACGCGCTCTTGTGGAAGACCTTTTGCACAAGAACTCTTGCACAAAACAGTTCTTGCACAAGAAGCCTGCAGTGTAGACATAGCCAGAATGTTTTAGAAAAAAACCCTTTTGATGGCAATGGTAATTTAGTTTATTCTCCTAAGCAAGTGGTTTTTAAAAATATTATTCTATTATGTTTATTATTGTTCCTGACTAATTTCTTGATTTTTCCTTTATAAAGTTTAAAACTGTCTCCATTGCATTGGTTTTCTGCTGCCTCTCTCCACAGGAGACACAGACTCTGCCTGTGGCCCAGGCCGTGCCATACCAAGGTTGAGTCTGAAACAACTATTGTAGCTTTTGGGAACACATGGTCACTGTAACTCACATTTGATAGGCACATGCAATTATTTTTTTGCAGGGAAAAGGGAAGGGCAGGACATTATATTATCTTAGAAGTGCGTGCAGACTCACAATTGATAGCAATTCAACATTATTTTTAAAATTTCAAAATGTGAAATTCTAAGTTATTTTTCTTTGTTTCTGGTTGTGGAGTTTTTACTCACCACCACTAAGGACCTTAAAAAAACAACAACAACAAAAAACCAACCACCAAATACTCATCATGACTCCAGAACCTGGAGGATTTAAAACAAACAAATAACACAAAACCTGTGACATAATTGAAAGTTAGGAACACTGCAATGCACTTATTCCCCACATACTGTCCAACATAGGGTTGCCAGGAATAGATCAAAAAGGGACCCTTGTGGCTCCAGTGAGTACAGCTAACTCGGCCACTAAAAGTCTGGATGGTGGTGCTGCTGGCACAGCACAATTGGCAGCCTAGGTGCCTGGCTCCTGGAACTGGTCAACATGTCCCTCCAACACTGAGGTGAAGGGTTGGCCATGGGGGCTCTATGTGCTGCTCCATCCCAAGTGCCAGTTCCGCAGCTATCATCATCCAGGGACAATATTCAATGAGAGCTGTAGGGGTGGTGCCTGCAGCCAGGCACAGTGCAGAGCTCCATGGCCACTCGCTCATCTAGATCAGTAGTTCTCAAACTTTACCTTTCCATGGACCCTCGGCCAACCACTCACGATGACACAAAAGGGTGCAGGTGAGGTGGGGAGGGTCTGGCTGGGGTGGGAGTGCAGGAGAGGGCTGAGTGTGGGGGGTTTGGGTGGGAGGCAGAGTGCAGAAAGGGTGGGGGTAGGGACATCTGAGTGGGAGGTAGGCAGCAGAAATGAGGTTAGGGTGTAGGGTCTCAGCGGGAGGGGAGTGTGTGAGAGGTATGGGGTGCACGAGGGGGATGGGGGGCACTTACCTGGCCCCATGCCTCCTGCCGCTCCCAGGCACAATCAGTGGCCGGATCTGCCAGGGAGGCTTGGGGCAACCCCCACCCCACAGAGGGAAGCCAGCGCTGGTGCTCCAACCTTGCAGGGGGGAGGAGGGCAGGGCCAGCGCAGGCTCCCTGCCCCGCGGGGAGGGCTCGCCCCAAGCCCGCCTGCAAGGGTTCCGCTCAGAGAACCACTGATTTAGGGAGATGCCGATCGCTTCTGTGGGGTACGGTCTGCCCAGGGCGTGGGCCCCGACCCCCTCCCACGCCAAGCCCTGAGCCCCCTCTCCCATGCCAAGCCCCATAGACCCAGCCCAGGGCCCCTTGCATCCAGCCACGCAGCCCCCTCTCCAGTATGCAGAGCCCCTGGCTGGCACTGGGCTGCGACTGTGGGGCTGAGAACAGAGCAAACACCTTGCAGCCTATCTACTTCGGTCTGCGCAAAGTAGCCAAACGCGAACAGGATATCTGTCCCCTTTCGCTTTCCGTATTGCGTTCCAACTCACTGGGCGTGGCCTCTCTTCGTTACGCTCGCCTACCAGAAAATGACTACAACTCCCAGAGGCCCCCCGCGCGGCGCCCCCAGCCACCCTCCTGGAAGCGTGCGGTTGATCCCCTGCCTTGCCCCGCCCCTTATGTCGCGCAACGGCCGCGGGGGTACGTCGTGACGCCTGAAGCGGGCCGTGGGAAGGGCAGCTATGAGCGGAGGAACTACATTTCCCACAATGCCCCACGCGGCCGCGCATGCGAGCTGCTGTTTTGCCGCCATCTTGCTTGGACGGAGAGCTGAGACCGCCCCCCCCCCCCCCAACTAAACAAACCCGAAGATACCCGGGCTTTGCCGCTGAGGAGCCTTTAGATGTTCCCGGAACGGCCGGGCAGGTGGGTCCCCTCCTCCCTCGGGAGCCTGGGCGGGACCGGGAGGGCGACTCCCCCCCCGAGGGTCTGTCGGGCGCTGTGTCCACGTCAGTGAAAGGCGCAGGAGCGGGCCGCTCCCGGCCGGCGGGGCATCCTCGCCCGGGGCTGAGCCTGCCCTGAGCAGCCTGGGCTGAGCGAGAGGCTTCCGTCCGGCCCCCGCGCTGAGGGAAGCGGGAGCCGTGTCCCCCCTCACACACACTGTGCCCCCGACTGAGAGGCGAGGGCGCTGTGCCCTCCTCTGCACCTCTCCCCCAGCTGAGGGAGCTGCGTCCCTCCCCCTCACACAGCGCCCCCTGGCGGAGGGAGGAAGGAGGCCCCCCCCCCATACAAAGGGCAGCCCCCAGCCTAGCTGAGGAAAGAGGGTGATCATGCCTGGGGGGGGGGGGTTGTGCTCTACCTCAGGAAGCTGCCCTTTCCCCCAGCCTCTTCTTCTCTTGGGCTGAGGAAAAGAGGGAGCAGCCTTCTCGGCTTTGGGGCAGGAGCTTTTTCTGTCCCTTCCCCCATAATATGGAGGTCAGAGGAGGCATTTCACTTCCTCCATCTTGAGAGGGTGTGCTGGGGTTATCTAAAGTCCCACCCGCCCCTTGCTCATCTTGCCTTGTTTTGTGTGTGTATGGGATCAGTTATTTTCACAAAGCCCCCAGGTCTGTTACAGGATAGTGATCATAGGCACAATGAATTTGGGAGTGGGGTAGGAGCATGCTGGTTCGACTGTCACAGCTTCCTGTGGGTGCTCCGGGAGAGTGCAGTGTTTACATTCTGCTGTATGATGCGATCTGTGCTTTGTGTTCATGTTGCTAAACACAGAACCATAATCACTGCTCTGTGGCGTTTCAGTCTAATAGCCCAAGTGCAGAACAAGTGTTGTCACTGTCTTGCACAAGTCTAATGACCTGTCTGCCTCTGGCAAGTATTTTTTTTTTTTAGTGGGTAGATAAAATCATTCTAATGAGTGTGGTTTTTATCACTGTCAAGATATGGATGGGCAAGTTAGATACTGTGTGTATAGTGTGCCTGAACAAATACATTTTCAGGATGCTTTTGTCAGTCTGCAACATAACAATCAAATGCCAAATCTTGTTCTATGGATTTTAGCCAAAATAATTCCTATGTGTGAAGAGGGAGGAGACTTGTATATCAATTCAGAGATAATTCCAGGTGTTAAGAGAGAGCAGAACATGAAAGAAGGTTTGCAAAAGATATAGGCAGGTCTCAGGAGACAGGCTAATATGACCCTCAGGTGTGCTTATGTTATGGAGACTGTTTTAGTATAGCTACCCTGGTGCAGCTATGCAGGTATAGCCAGACAATATAAATGCAACCTGCACTAACAAAGACATTTTTTCTGTTTAGTTTGGGAACATCATTTCCCTAAACATTAGGTACCTCTATGGAAGCAATCATCCATTGACATACCTGTGTCTACATGGGGGTTATGTTGGCATAGGTACAGTATTCAGTAGTGTGGTTTAGTCACACCTCTGACCAACTTAGCTCTTCCAGTATAACTTTCAAATGTAGACCAAGCCTGAGGAACTGGTTGTATAAGAAGTCAGTGGCAGGTTTGAAGTTGCAGAATTCCATTATAGTGAAATGGTGAGCCTTTTGCAAAGGTTCAAGCAGAGGAATACATTGATGGAAAGAAAGATTACTTTGAAGCACTGAGCAGGCTGGAAGAGGAAAGAGGTTTCACTAATCAAGTTGCAAAAGCAAAATGTAGAGCATTGAATTGGACTTACAGTATTTGTATTCTTTTTCAGGGAGGTTGAGCTCTGCAGGAGCACAAAGACAGAGAAAGAATGCCTGTTGTGTGGCCAACACTTTTGGATCTCAGCAGGGATGAATGCAAGAGGATTCTTCGCAAACTGGGTACAGTGAGATGCAGTTTTGACTATTCATTGACTGTTGGGTCTTTATGTATCTTTCTCTGTTTAATGTCTCCATTAAACATGTTGATATGTTTGCAATTAAGCTTATAAGATATAGAAAGTGATCAGAAGGTGTCAGTGTTTTCACAGCTCTTGCTTTAATGCTATTTGGTAATCGTAGATGCTCATTATGGATTAATATGTAGAGCTGGTTATAAACCTAATTTTACAGAATCATTTTGGATGGACGGTCCCTCTGGTGGATACAGTAGTCCATGTATCTGCCTCCACTTATCTACACTTCAGATTATATTTTCACGCACATGAATGCAAATAGAAGACATTTCTGTCAAAAGTGAGTGCAGACTGAGAAGTTTCAATCTCCACATGTCTGATTAATTTCCTATCTGCATTTTTGGTTTTATATAGAGAAAACATATAAATACAAAAATGTATCTTTCATTGCTCCCCGTGTTTAGTTGTGTCAGTGGTTTGAGTTACATCAGTAAAACTACTGTGATGCAGATTCTCAATGACAGAAAAAAATCCCACAATACAATGTCATTTCCAGTCTTCAGTTACTGGAGGACAAAAACTGGTTGTGAGATGTGAAAACAATCTCAATTGATATAATGGTCATAACAATAGGAGCTTATTGAAATACTGTGGCTATACTTTGAACTCTTGATGCTTTGCCCAAATGTAAACTGATACTTGAAAAAATATTTTTGGTGCCTTTTTGGTAATAAGGCAACTCTTCTTAATAGTTTTTAATTGCATTTTAATATTGAAAGAAAACAAATCTAAGGTTTTTTTTTCAGATTTTGATTTTGGCAACATAGTCTAGTGATCGAACACAGTAAAGGGAGTCAAGAGATTAAATATTTAGAGGCCTTGACTTCTTATATGACTTTTGGCAAATAACTTAATCTCTTCTGGGCCTTATTTTATCCATCTATTAAAAGAGTGCTGTACTGTGTTACTTAGTTTGCAGCAGAAGCATGAAGGTTAATGTTAATGTTTGTAAAGTCATTTGAGGTTTTCAGATGCTTCATCATCTAAGCCTTAAATACGGAAGCAATTACCTGACCAATATCCTGGCTTGGGAGTTACCGCTGACCAAAGTGTGTCTTCTCTGCTTTCTGGTTTAGTGAGGACTGAGCTGTGTGTAGGTCTTATTTTGAGCAGGATTCTTTGTGTAAATGGGGTCCACTGGACAAACTTGCTGGCAGCTTTTGAAAACAGTGCAAGTCCTGCTTTTTTTGGCAGCTATTATCTGATTGCTATTTGTGCTCGTCAGCCTTTTGTTGTTGTTGATGCCATTAAACAACTTTTCTTCTCCTCCTCCTCCTCCTCCTCGATTATCATGTTAGGGAGGGTTCTGTTTTTCAGAGACTACATATTGTTTATAGAATCTGAACTGTTATTTTTATTAAATAATTTATTACTTGTGGTAGCACCTAGAGGTCCTATCTGAGATTGCAAGCTGATATACAGAAACAGAGAGGGAGTATCTAGACTACAGGGTTTTTTTAAAAAAAGTAAATTGAAAGAATGCAGCAGTTTTTTCAACCGCGGAAAACCTCGTTTTACAAGGAATAATGCCTTTTTTTTTAAGTGTTTTTTTGAAAAAAGGCGCTATGTAATGCAAACTGCTTTTTCGAAACTACTGGTTGTAGTCTAGGTGCTCTTTCGAAAGAGGCTTGCAATCTAGACGTAGCCAGAGAAAGAACTTTGTCTAAATAGGCAAAATAGATAAGGGAAGAGAAATGGAGGCACAGAGAGGTGAAGTGACTTGCCCTGTAGCAAGGTCACAAATCAGGCAGGTCATTAGTGGAACAAGGCATATAGTCCATGTTTCCTGACGTATAGTCTAGTTCTCTTGCAGGCCAATCTGCAAAGCACAGATACTCCGTAGTAAGTTAAATGCCATGGAAGATTTTAGAAAAGTGTCAATACTTAAATCAGTGCTTCCCAATTTTTTCGAGCATTTGGACCCTTTTTCAATCCATTAAAATTTCACAGAACCTCTCTCCAGGAAAAGAAGGAAAAGGAAAAGAAAAGAGGAAAAAAAGAAAAGTAAGGATTGGGCCCACCTTAAGCTTTCCACGGACCTCCTGCAATGCCATCACGGACCACGGATTGGGAACCACTGACTTAAATAAATCATATCGTAGTGTGAAATCTAGCACTGCTCTGCAGTACATAAATATGGGATGAAGTGGCAGCCTTAAGTTTGGATTTGCATGTTTCCATTTATTTAAGATAAACCTATTTTTATACCTTACTTTGACCATATCGCTAGGTTTCCCAAAGACTGCACCAGTTACAATTTTTGTGCACCGTTTAGGGATAGGAGTGAGGAATCTGCGTACGTCTGTTCTGTGAGCTTCATTGCCTGCCATGATGCTAAAACATAAATTTCAACTTCTTAATATAGTGGTTTTCAAAAAAAAAATCAAACTTTACCCAGTGATTTCTGAGTTAAGTAACTTCCTACATCTAAGCAGAGAAAAATACTGATGTTTCTCTCATATTACTGTTGACTTTAGAGGCAACCAATAGATTGGTGTACAAAATGCTTCATCATCTAAGCCTTAAATACGTAAGTAATTACCTAACCAATATCCTGGCTTGGGAGTTATGGCTGACCAAAGTGTGTCTTCTCTGCTTTCTGGTTTAGTGAGGACTGGGCTGTGTGTAGGACTTATTTTGAGCAGGATTCTCTGTTTGTGTATGTGGGGTCCACTGGTCAAACTTGCTGGCAGCTTTTGAAAACAGTGCAAGTCCTGCTTTTTTTGGCAGCTATTATCTGACTGCTATCTATGCTCTTGGCAACTTTTTTGTTATTGTTTCTGTCTCTCTTGATACTTAAATTTTCTGTTAACTGGGATTTGATTTTGTAGGTCTGTATAGCTATATATAGTATGGAAACACAGGTAGTTTTATAGGTGACTTTAAGAAAATTAACAGATTGGATTGCTAATTTAAATGAGTTAGTTATTCTTCTTTGTAAAATGTGAAGTAACTAAAACAATAAGCATTGATAAATTGAACTGACAGTTTATATGGTAAGTTCCAAACCAGTTCATATTAAAATAGCAGATTTAACAACGTATGGGGAAAACCAGGATTTTATCGTAAAAATGCTAACAGGCTCTCTCAACTATAAGATTTTGAATTTATGGATGGAATACCAATTAAATGAAAGATGTGCCCCATGATGTTAGCATTATATATTTTGACTAAGTGGCATTTTCACATTCTGGTTTTCAGAGTTTTCTGTAAGCTAAAGAATAATTTTAATTTTTTAGTGTTAAATCAGTTCATTATCTTTGATATATTGGTTGCACACTAGAGATCTGAATGTTCCTTGTTGCTTCAGTGTGTTAGCATTTTTTTCTGATTTAAACAGTTGCATATGATGTGGAAATTAGACAAGATACATTGAGTATAAAATGTATATGATGGCTAAAAAGCTGTCATCACCTTATTAAAAAGTGGTGTTGGAGGGAAAATCAGCTTTTCTTGTGATAGAAGTAAGTTTTTCTTGAGTAAAGTTTTCCTATGAAGTTTTTTAAAGCTAATTATCAAAGATCTTATAAATATTTCATTTACTCTTGGAAAATTCCACAGTACTTTGTAAAAATAGGGCCCAGACTTTCAAGTCCTTCTGCATGTAATACTCCCACTCGTGTCAGTGGAAGTTCTCTTGTGTGGAAGGCTTGTGTTACCTGATCACAATCTTATAAATTGCTTTCTAGAGAATCTGCTATGAAATCACATTATATGCTATGTATAACTGTATACAGCCGAGTAATAAGATGTGAATGCATTAATAGAAAATCTACCATTTTTAAAACAATGATTTTATTTTTCCTTTTTGCTGTTAACTGTGAAGAGCTAATCCTATTTCTGTTTTTCCTTAGAACTTGAGGCATATGCTGGAGTTATCAGTGCCTTGCGTGCACAGGGGGACCTTACCAAGGAAAAGAAAGACCTTCTTGGAGAACTCTCCAAAGTGCTTAGGTAAACCACACACTATTTATGGTATGTGTGGTGAGTGTATTCTTGGTTTATGCCCTGTTTTCTTTCAAAAGCACTGCACACATTTCCTATCAATGGCATTTTTCTGCTTTAAATTAAATTTATAATCATAGAACCATAGAGCTGAAAGAGACCTCAGAAGGTCAAGTCCAGCCCCCTGCCCAAGGCAGGATCAATCCCAACTAAAACAACCCAGCCAGGGCTTTGTCAAGCCGAGACTTAAAAATCTCTAGGGTTGGAGACTCCACTACTTCTCTAGGTAACCCATTCCAGTGCTTCACCACTCTCCTAGTGAAATAGTTTTTCCTCATATCCAACCTGGACCCCTCCCACCGCTATCTGAGACTATTGTTCCTTGTCCTGCCATTCGTCACTACTGAGAACAGCCTCTCTTCATCCTCTTTGGAACCTCCCTTCAAGAAGTTGAAGGCTGCTATCAAATCCCCCCTCACTCTTCGCTTCTGCAGACTAAACAGACCCAACTTCCTCAGCCTCTCCTCATGGGTCATATGCTCCAGCCCCCAAATCATTTTGGTCGCCCTCTGCTGGACCCTCTCCAGTGCGTCCACATCCTTTTTGTAGTGGGGGCCCAGGACTGGACACAATACTCCAGATGTGGCCTCACAAGAGCCGAATAAAGGGAAATAATGACATCTCTGAATCTGCTGGCAATGCTCCTCCTAATGCACCCTAATATGCCATTAGCCTTCTTGGCTACAAGGGCACACAGTTGACTCATATCCAGCTTCTCATCCACTGTAATCCCCAGGTCCTTTTCTGCAGAACTACTACTTAGCTGGTTGGTCCCCAGCCTGTAACAATGCTTGGGATTCTTCCGTCCCAAGTGCAGGTCTCTGCACTTGTCCTTGTTGAACCTCATCAGATTTCTTGTGGCCCAATCCTCCAATTTCTCTAAGTCACTCTGGACTTAGTCACCTTTGCCCTAGAGTATATCTACCTCTCCCCCTAGCATAGTCATCTGCAAACTTGCTGAGGGTGCAATCCATCCCCTCATCCGGGTCATTAAGAAAGATATTGAACAAAACCAGTCCTAGAACTGAACTTTGGGGCACTCCACTAGAAACCGATCGCCTTTCTGACATCGAACCGTTGATCACTACCCGCTGGGCCCGACCTTCTAGCCAGCTTTCTATCTATTTTACAGTCCATTTATCCAATCCACATTCCCTTAACTTGCTGGCAAGAATATTGTGGGAGACCGTATCAAAAGTCTTGCTAAAGTCAAGGTATATTACATCCACAGACTTTCCCAGTGGATCGTCCTTCTTCCCTTTTTTGAAGATGGGCACTACATCTGCCTTTTTCCAATCATCTGGGATTTCTCCCGATCTCCATGACTTTTCAAAGATAATGGCCAAAGGCTCCTCAATGACATTTATACCCAAGGCTTACCACGCCGCGGCGAGCCCCACTCGCCAGCCGTGCTGTCCAGCGTTCTGCATTTGCACAGATCGTTCTGTGCATGTGCAGATTGCCAGAACCCGGCTCTTCCGGGTTGTAATCTACTCGCCACGGGTGAGTAGATTACTAAGATTGTCGAGCCCTGTTTATACCCCTCCCTGGTCATTTGTCCAAGTTTCCACTTTTTGTAAGCTCCCTTTTTGTGCTTAAGTTCACCAAGGATTTCCCCTGTAATTCAATCCGGTCTTCTACCATATTTGCTTCTCTTGCTACACATCAGGATGGTTTCTTTCTGTACCTTCAATAAGGCTTCTTTAAGATACTGCAAGCTCTCCTGGACTCCTTTCCAGGGGATTCTGCCCATCAAGTCTCTGAAGGAGTCAAAGTCTACTTTTCTGAAGTCCAAGGTGTGTATTTTATTACTCTTTTTTTTTTTTTCCTTTGGTCAGGATCCTGTAATCTACCATCTCATGATCACTGCTTCCAAGGTTGTCACCCACCTCTACTTCCCCTATTAGTTCAGAAAAGTGATTCCAGAAACAATGTAGTGGGGATTCCTTATTTACTTTCTTTCAATGATTCCTGGTCAAATTTGCTTATCTTGCAAATAAAAATTTTTTCTCACTTCCATTCTTGTAAGATTGCAACCCAGAATTAGAAGTCCAGCCATGCAGTGGCTAATGTAATCTTTAGTAACTATGGTAAAATTCTTTCTATTCTCTAGAATAGAAAAATATTTTATTTTCACTGTCACAGGGACCAAAGCAAGTGGCAATCTCTAAAATGTAAACAGTGACACCTCCTCCCACCAGAATGGAGCTATATGTGACATTTTCATTTTAGCTATCAGGATCAGATAAATATATTTGTCTGTCCATATCTGAAATGTATTGGCTGCTTTCTCTTTTGACAGCATTTCAACTGAGCGCCATCGTGCTGAAGTTCGGAGAGCCGTAAATGATGAACGGCTAACAACTATTGCGCATAAGTAAGCTATTAGTTTCACATGACCTGCATAAAGTAGCAAAGAGTCTTTCCATTAGGCAGTGCTTTATATTTTAAACCAAATATTAAGTTTGACTTCTGTTAAGGAAATGTATGGGCCACGTTATTTTATATGTTTCAGTCTTGTTTGGGCTATTGTGATGGGGCTTAGAATGTGATTGCCTTAGAAATGATTATTTCTATAGCATACTTAGCTTTATGATTGTTTCATGAACATTATTATGCTTTTGGTATTTTTATTTCAAGGAGTATAATATGTATTACCGGTAATTTGTAAGATTGCTTTTTCTATTATAATTTACTGTACATATTCTAGCCTATCTCTAGAAAAGAGATCCTGTTATCTAGTAGCTTTTCTCTCTTGAAAAAGCATGTTTTTAGTAAATAAATGTGATGGATAATAGAACACTTCGATATAATATGCATTTCTGTTTAGTATGTCTGGACCAAACAGCTCTTCAGAATGGTCTATAGAAGGTCGTCGACTGGTGCCGCTGATGCCACGGCTGGTTCCACAAACAGCATTCACTGTAACAGCTAATGCTGTTGCTAATGCAGCTGTTCAGCTCCATGCATCTCTTCCAGTTACTGCTGAAACTGGAAACAAAGAAGGGGTAAGGGAATTCCAGTATTTTACTGCAAATAGTGAGGGTGTGAAAAGAATAATTTCACGCTTTAAAGGGACACGATTGGCTAGTCTCAGTCCAAAATTTGTAGGGTTTTTTTTTAAACAAAAAACCTCATTCCTTCATTCTCCTATGATATTAATAGAAATGTTTTAATAAAATCTGATTGACTTTGAAGTCCATTTTGACATTTTTGCACCTCAATGTAATATTGTGCTAGTGCATTTGGAACTGGAATATGACGTGACATTTACTAAAAACACAAAGGAACTGAACTGGTTCACCATCTCTGCCAAACCACGTACGTTCTAGATGTTTTGAAGATGTAAAATGTGGCAGTTTTGCAAATTTAAATTACTAAAAATGAAAGAATTAAATAAAAGTTGTAACAGTTCCCTTTAAGGTACAGTTATATTCAGGGAAGGTGACGTTGCAAAAATGACATGGATATCATTCTTATTTTGCCACTCCAGATGAAATGTACTAAATTAATAAATGAAAAGATCCTCTCCACCCTCTTCTGAGCCCCTATAAACTCCATCTAAGATGCAGAATTTTATTTTGCTTTGTTTTAGGGGTTTGGTTACAATATAGTTACACAGTTAGAGAAAACCTAACACTTTTCAAATTAGTTTTTTTCTGATAGATTTGGGAAATGTTATACCACCTGAATTCTCTTACTACTACTTGTAAACATCAGTGTTACAGCAATTAAACAAGGAAAACCATTTTAAAAGATGTTAATCTGTGTTAATTTAAAATGGATTTTCAGGTTAATTGAGGGACTGACATGCCACTGAAAACAGTTCAATAACAATTTTATACGTATATCATTGATCAACTCTAGAGACCTAAGTACATTAAGACAAAGTTCATTAAAATTCTGAACACCTACATGATGAACTATAATATTAAATACACAATGAGTAGAGAGCAAAATAGTCTCAGTGGTGTTTGAAAGAGCTTTTAAAATGAAAACATTTACAAATCTGCTTTGAAAACAATTAATTCTATGGTGGTTCTTGGCTCAAAGCAGAGAGCACCTCACAGTAGTTGGACTGCAGAGGCAAAGATGTGGATAGTGAACCAATAAACCTTAGGCTTTCGTTTATCTTTAAAGTTGTTAAAATAGTGCTAGGATAATGGAATTTTTTACTTGAGTTATGTGGAAGGTGTCTTCTCTCCTCTTTAGTGGTGGTTTGCTATTCCTACACAAGTACCACTTCAACCCCAACATCTACCCCTGTTCCAAGTGGCAGTGTAGCAACAGTGAAGTCCCCCAGACCTGCCAGTCCAGCCTCCAACGTAGTCGTCTTGCCAAGTGGAAGTACTGTTTACGTCAAAAGTAAGTGACACTAGTAACTTTGATATAAAAACAGAAAGAAAGGGCGTGATCTTGGATTACAGGACTCTGAGTCAGATAATCTGGGTTCCAGACCCAGGTCTATCTCAAACCTACAGTGTGACTGGGCAAGTCCCTTTAACATCTTTGTTTCTTAGTCTATCAGTAAAGAAGAACTAATGCTTCCCTCCCTCATAAGGGTATGTTGAGGCCAAAATCATTGATTGAAAAATACGGTGTGATATTTTGATGTCTTGGATAACAGTAATGCAAAGTATGAAAAATAAAACCTGTACATTGACATGCAGTAGTGGATCATTTGTTCCTTCAGTTTGAAATTATGCCTCTGATGTGGTTATACCTAATGCTTGGGAGTAAGCTTTCACTTCCACCTCTTCCCCAAAATATGCACCTGGCCAACAGTGCAATGATTTATGTTTGAGGAAATGGGATGGAGGATAAACCCTTTTTTCCTTTTCAGATGAGCAAGAGAATTTCTGTGAATATTATTTTTCTACAATCATTCAAGTGCCCCGAAAGCAGCTAGTGATATGACATGTCACGTCACGTGACTGGGCCAAATCCTTACCTGATTTAAATCAGCTAAAGATTTGTTCTTTATGAATATTATCAAAAGAATAGAACTTAAAAATAATATAGTTTTCTTGTTTTCTAGCAGTAGCTAAACTTTTAAACAAACTACACAACTAACTTCACCCAGGGATTCAGTTAAAATTTACTTGCACTGTGTTATGGATTGCATATTATCACAGTTTTGCAGTGTGTTGGAAAGTACAACTTTAGAAGCTAATTATATCATTATTATTTTTACTATCAGGATGGATAAAAATTGATGAAATCTAATAATTAGAAATCAGATTTTATTTAAATGTATATACATTTTTATTTAAAATTTAATTTGTAATGGATAACCTGTTAATTCCTAAATGTGCTATAACCTATTTAAATAAAAATAGACTGTCCTCCTCAAATTTTAATGCTGCTTTTTAATTACATATAGAGCTGTATAAACTCCATTCTCATGTACTGAATTAAGTAATTATATGTTATTTCCAATCTTCATATAGAGTGAATGTGATTTACATTTCCTAGAAAAGCTTTTGCCTTAACTAAATTGAAACCAGAAATAATTAGCAGGTGCAGAGAGAATATTTTCTTAATTTTGACTAGTTCAGTCAAAATTGAGAAACTGATTTGGAGTTGAAAAAGGAGAAAAGCTTGTTTAAGAATAAAAGCCATGGGAGATGATGAGATTAACTAGTTCTAAATACTTGAAGGATATGAGGTCAGATTTTCACCTGAAAATTCAGGTAAGTGCTTTGATATTGGTGAGATCACCTTAGAAAGGCATCAACACATCCTTGCAATATTTGGCCCAGGGTAACCAGAATAAGCCAATCAATTCACTAATACAGTTGATGCTTTCTTTGTTTAATCATCAGTTTTAAATGCAAAATATGTTTTGGCAATTGGTTCTTTTGTGTATCCAGCACATTTAAGATAATATTATTTAATTAAGAAATAATTTGATGTTTTCGTAGAGTTTTAATTGAATTCCAAATTCCATTCAAGTGCATCTTCACACACATGCCATGTAAAAAAAATTACTGCCTAATAAATAAGAAATGCATCAGTTGACCATTTTCTAACATTTAAAAATGAAAAATTAAGGATTTGAATAAATGTATGTTATGCTATATGAGTGCTTAAATAAATATACAGCTATAGAATAGCCTTCCGGTTAGCAAAAAGGAAATACCAAATTTAGTCTAAAGGCATTATTTGGTGGTAAATCAACTAATGAATGAGAATAAACCTTTCTTTAGGAAAATAATTGGAAAATACTAACGGAGACAGTGAGATTAAAATTGATTATTTAAATCAAGGTTTCCTACTTGTAATTGTAAATCACTTAGATTTAAATCATTCTGCCCTATCTACTATAGAAAGTAGATGTAAGCACCAGAAAAATTGATGTTCTCTTAAGCCACATCTTCACTTCCCAGTAGGGGTTTGAAAGTGTAACCATGTACATGGTTAACCGATGAGCCAGGGCTCATCAATTAACTTTCATGGTCACACACAGGCTCCCAGTCTGCCTGCTCCCTCACCCTATGCTGCTATCTCCAACGAGGGGGCTATGCGAGAGCCAGTACACACGTGGAGCCGTTTGCTGTTCTGCGTGTAACCACTGAAATTTTCAGTGGCTACACAGTTACTTTAAACACATTTTAACATCCCTACTTCCTGGAAGATCAACACTGGAGTTCGTTTTGCAGGTCTAGTAAAGACTCACTAAATCAAACAATGAAGGTGCCCTCTTAGACTCCAATACGCCTTGATTTGCAAGGAGTAAGGGAAGTTGACAGGACCATTTGCTTTTGTCAGCCTCCTGCTGTGGAGACAGTGCCGAAGGTCGAGTTAAGGCACGTAGACTCCAGCTACACAATTAACATAGCTGGAGTTGCGTATCTTAATTTGACCTTCCAGGTAAGTATAGACAAGGCCTTAGCAATTTTTTTAAACTTTAGATTTCGGTTGTTTGAGCTGTTACATAGTAATTACTGTATGACTGGTCTGAATTCAAACAAATGAAATAGGAATGAAAAACAAATCTCATCAGTCCCTTAAACCAGGGGTGGCCAACCTGTGGCTCTTCTGAAGTTAATATGTGGCTCCTTGCTCAGGCACTGACTTCCAGGGCTGCAGCTACAGGTGCTAACTTTCCAGTGCTCAACTCCTAGGTCCCCCTTCTCCTCCTCCAAGCGTATTGTGCCCTTGCTCCTTCCCTCCCCCACAGAGCCTCCTGAGTGCCATGAAACAGCTGATTGCAGTGGACAGGAGGGTTCAGGGAAGGAAGAGGAGGCACTGATCTGATCAGTGGTGCTGCTGGTGGGTGAAAGATACTGAAAATGGGAGAGGAGGCACCTGGTGGGACTGCTGACAAATTACTGTAGCTCTTTGGCAATGTACATCGGGAAACGGTGGCTCCTTTCCAGGCTCAGGTTGGCCACACCTGCCCTAAACCATCCAGTCCCTGACTAGTTCAGTCAAAATTGAGAAACTGATTTGGAGTTGGAAAAAAAAAAAAAAAAAAAAGGAAAGCTTGACCTCAAATAAAAGCCATGGGATTAAATTTTAAAATGCAAAAAATGTTATACATTTAATCTTTATTACATCTTCCAAGAGTAATAGTTGTGAGAGAGAGCGTTCAAGTACTACTAATTTACACAAGGCAATATTCTCTTCAGGTCAAAGCTAAAAGGCTGGGACTCAAAGCTGAGTTAGAATTTTGGCACTACTAGTAACTTGGTGTGTGGCCTTCAGCTAGTCACTGTCTGACTGGGCCATTACATTTTATGTGCCTTTGCTTACTGGCTTTAAAATGTAGGTTGTATCCATCTGTGAAGGTTATATCCAACTATAATGCTTTTTGATTTTATAATTTGAAAAGCTTTGTAGAAGTGCAAATTATTAGAAAATCAAAGACAACAAGAATATAGTTGTCACAGAACCCATAAACAAAGAGGAACAAAAATATTTCAAGTACTCACACTTATTTTCCACACATCTATTACTTCATAGTAAATTTTACTGTCATGGAAGTGGTAGATATACAAAGTAATTTGGGGCAATCCTCTAAAATGTGGTTCCCACCAAAATAATACTCTAAACTTTAACTCCCAAATGACATACAAACTTAAGTTTTGGTGAATCCCGTATCCTCAGATGAGCAGTATTATTTCTGTACTTTCAAATGTATTGGTTAGCAACTTCATGGATATAAGTTTGTTTAATGTACGTACAAGATACACTGTAATGCTTTATTCTTTATCTATTTCCACACAACTACGTAAATTGTCTCAATTTTATGAATGGTAAAACGACACCGAGATTGATTTGCTTGAGAACACAAAGTTAATTGTTGGCAGATAAGAATAAAATTCAGCTCTCCTAATTTGTAGGTCCATACCCAATCCACTAGAATACAGTGCCACTGAATCCATAATGAATATACTAATAGTAAAATACATACAATCAGATATAGAAATGAAAGTTTGTGTTTCTTCATAATCAATGAAATTTCCAAAAACAAATAACATTTTAGTCCACTAGCAGCCTTTGTTTTCACTTCACACTCATTTTCACTAGCGACTTTCTCTGTCTTGCCCTGTATACGTTTGTTTGCCTTCTGTATGGCCCTGATGCAAAACCTGCAGGTGATCTGGATACATAGTTGGAGCAAATACCATCTTTGGAAGTATATTTATCTTTTCATAGAATTCTTCCTCGTAAAGATTATGCTGCATAATCCATGCAAATCATCTCTCTTCACCTTTGGAACACCTAAATGCAAGTTCTGCAGTTTCTGAATATTGTATCTTCTATTAGAGCTTCATAGATTATTCTGGCTTGGTTGGATTTTTGTTGAGTAGATTTAATTCCTTTGCAAGATGAGGGCCTGAAAATGAGCATCTCCAGCCATCTCGTACAAAGATGAACTACAGGCATTTAGCATGTTTTTCAACTCATCACTTTGGAGTAATGTGATTGCTCATAAACATGGCATCATGTGTGTATGAAGCAATGTCAAAGGTGGCTACAACACACCACTCTGTATATATAATGTCTAACATATGGTGACCTTTTTGGCCAGTTGAAGTAAGAGAATCTTGGATAAGGTCTAGTATTTTATTATAGTAGGGCCATACTGCTTACCAGGACCAAAAGAACATGTTCTGGAACAGTGGTCTCCAACCTTTTTAATTACATGATCATTTTTTGAATTGAAATCAATCCAGGAATCTACCTGAAATCAAATACCCTAACCCTGCCCCCACCCTTTTCTGAAGCCCTACCCTGCTCACTCTGTGGAGATGTGGTACAGGGGTGGGGAACACCTTGACATCAGTGCCCTTCTCCTTGGTCTCTGCCACCCTGCACAGCAACCAAGAGGCTCCTGTGTTACAGTTCCAAGGCAGAGAGCAGGAGCAGCACAGCAGTGAAGGGAGGGGCAGCTTAAGTGCTGGCCCTTGATAGCCTCCTGGCCAAACCAATCAGGATCACCTGTCAGATGCTTCAGGCTTTACCAGTAGATTCTGATCATCTGGTTAGTGACCATTGTTATACCATCAGTGGTTCAGTGGAGTCTGTTACAACACATAAGTTTTCTGCACTCAGGGTAAGTGATTGGAGAGGTGAAGGAACTTTTTTGATGCAAAAAGTTCCTTTTGTAAGATTGCATATTGGTAAAAGTTTTACTTTTTGGCATACAATGAATAAAATGTACCAAAAGAGTTACTACTTCAAAGTGCTAAAGGCACAAATTGGTAAAGTGGGATGTAATCTT